TATAAAAGCAGTCAGAGATGATACTTAAATGAATGAACATGCTGTGTTCTAATAAAATTTTGTTTACAAAAACAGATAGTGGGCTGGAGTTTGCTCATGGGTTGTTGTTTGCCAACCTGAATTAAATGAATTCTAAGTGATTTAGAATTGGAATTAAAAAAATTTTTTTGACAACAGTATGTTTAAATTTCTTCAGTTACCAAGGAAAAGTTTTCAGAGTCTTTTCACTCAGAAATAGTAACATTTTCTGTATCTGATTTAAAGATTATGTCATTATCAAAGAAATAATCTAGAATGCTACCTAGTTTGTACCTGAAAAATACACTCATAGCATGTAAGCATTGAAAAGGACTTTGAAGATAAATAAATGAATGCATGGGTGAGTGAACAAATAAATAAATGGAAACTGTATAGGTTAATGTTTCTCACATCGGGGTCTGTTTGGAAGTTTTCAAATTTTGTGATTCAAGATAATCTAAAACTTTTTTTTTTTAAAAAGACATTCTTTAATTTTAATTATGTTATGTTAATCACCATACATTACATCATTAGTTTTTGATGTAGTGTTCCATGATTCATTGTTTGCATATAACACCCAGTGCTCCATTCAATACGTGCCTTCTTTAATACCCATCACCAGGCTAACCCATCTTCCCACCCCTCTCCCCTCTAGAACCCTCAGTTTGTTTCTCAGAGTCCATCGTCTCTCATGGTTCGTCTCCCCCTCTGATTTCCCCCCTTCATTTTTCCCTTCCTACTATCTTTTTTTTTTTTTAACATATAATGTATTATTTGTTTCAGAGGTACAGATCTGAGATTCAACAGTCTTGCACAATTCACAGCGCTCCATAGCACATACCCTCCCCAATGTCTATCACCCAGTCACCCCATCCCTCCCACCCCACCCCCCACTCTAGCAACCCTCAGTTTGTTTCCTGAGATTAAGAATTCCTCATATCAGTGAGGTCATATGATACATGTCTTTCTCTGATTGACTTATTTCGCTCAGCATAATACCTTCCATTTCCATCCACGTCATTGCAAATGGCAAGATTTCATTTCTTTTGATGGCTGCATAATATTCCATTGTATATATATACCACATCTTCTTTATCCATTCATCTGTCGATGGACATCTTGGCTCTTTCCGTAGTTTGGCTATTGTGGACATTGCTGCTATAAACATTGGGGTGCATGTACCCCTTCGGATCCCTACATTTGTATCTTTGGGGTAAATACCCAGTAGTGCAATTGCTGGATTGTACGGTAGCTCTATTTTCAACTTTTTGAAGAACCTCCATACTGTTTTGCAGAGTGGCTGTACCAGCTTGTATTCCCACCAACATCTGTCATTTCCTGACTTGTTAATTTTAGCCATTCTGACTGGTATGAGGTGGTATCTCATTGAGGTTTTGATTTGGATTTCCTTGATGCCGAGCGATGTTGAGCACTTTTTCATGTGTCTGTTGGCCATTTGGATGTCTTCTTCGGAAAAATGTCTGTTCATGTCTTCTGCCCGTTTCTTGATTGGATTATTTGTTCTTTGGGTGTTGAGTTTGATAAGTTCTTTTAGATTTTGGATACTAGCCCTTTATCTGATATGTCATTTGCAAATATCTTCTCTCATTCTGTTGTCTTTTGGTTTTGTTGAATTTTCTTTTGCTGTGCAAAAGCTTATCTTGATGAAGTCCCAATAGTTCATTTTTGCCCTTGCTTCCCTTGCCTTTGGTGATGTGTCTAGGAAGAAGTTGCTGTGGCTGAGGTTGAAGAGGTTGCTGCCTGTGTTCTTTAGGATTTAGGATTTTGGATTTTGGGATTTTGATGGACTCCTGTGTCACATTGAGGTCTTTCAACCATTTTGAGTCTATTTTTGTGTGTGGTGTAAGGAAATGGTCCAGTTTCATTCTTCTGCATGTGGCTGTCCAATTTTCCCAACACCATTTGTTGAAGAGACTCTTCTTTGCATTGGACATTCTTTCCTGCTTTGTCAAAGATTAGTTGACCATAGAGGGAGGGTCCATTTCTGGGCTCTCTATTCTGTTCCATTGATCTATGTGCCTGTTTTTGTGCCAGTACCATACTGTCTTGATGATGACAGCTTTGTAATAGAGCTTGAAGTCTGGAATTGTGATGCTGTCAGCTTTGCTTTTCTTTTTCAACATTCCTCTGGCTATTCGGGGTCTTTTCTGGTTCCATACAAATTTTAGGATGATTTGTTCCATTTCTTTGAAAAAAGTTGGTGGTATTTTGATGGGGATTGCATTGAATGTGTAGATTGCTCTAGGTAGCATTGACATCTTCACAATATTTGTTCTTCCAGTCCATGAGCATGGAACGTTTTTCCATTTCTTTGTGTCTTCCTCAATTTCTTTCATGAATATTTTATAGTTTTCTGAGTACAGATTCTTTGCCTCTTTGGTTAGATTTATTCCTAGGTATCTTATGGTTTTGGGTGCAATTGTAAATGGGATCGACTCCTTAATTTCTCTTTCTTCTGTCTTGTTGTTGGTGTATAGGAATACAACTGATTTCTGTGCATTGATTTTATATCCTGCCACTTTACTGAATTCCTGTATGAGTTCTAGCAGTTTTGGGGTGGAGTTTTTTGGGTTTTCCACGTAAAGTATCATATCATCTGCAAAGAGTGAGAGTTTGACTTCTTCTTTGCTGATTTAGATGCCTTTGATTTCTTTTTGTTGTCTGATTGCTGTGGCTAGGACTTCTAGTACTGTGTTGAATAGCAGTGGTGATAGTGGACATCCCTGCCATGTTCCTGAATTCTTAATCTCAGGAAACAAACTGAGGGTTGCTCGAGTGGTGGGGGGGTGGGAGGGATGTGGTGGCTGGGTGAAAGACATTGGGGAGGGTATGTGCTATGGTGAGCGCTGTGAATTGTGTAAGACTGTTGAATCACAGACCTGTACCTCTGAAACAAATAATACATTATATGTTAAAAAAAAAAAAAGAAGATAGTAAGAAGGGAAAAATGAAGGGGGGAAATCGGAGGGGGAGACGAACCATGAGAGACTATGGACTCTGAGAAACAAACTGAGGGTTCTAGAGGGGAGAGGAATTGGGGGATGGGTTAGCCTGGTGATGGGTATTAAAGAGGGCACGTACTGCATGGAGCACTGGGTGTTATATGCAAACAATGAATCATGGAACACTATGTCAGAAACTAATGATGTAATGTATGGTGATTAACATAACATAATAAAATTAAAAAAAGAAAAAGAAAGAAAGAACAAGAACCATATGATCCTCTCAATAGATGCAGAAAAAGCATTTGACAAAGGATAGTATCCCTTCTTGATCAAAACTCTTCAGAGTATAGGGATAGAGGGTACATACCTCAATATCATAAAAGCCATCTATGAAAAACCCACAGTGAATATCATTCTCAATGGGGAAGAACCGAGAGCTTTCCCCCTAAGGTAAAACTTTTTGATATTAACAAATTTAAGCCGAGTGATTGATCTCATAGTTGAGTCAAATGTCACTTGATTACAATGTCAGCATTCCTGTTGACTATCAATTTGGGACCAAATAATATCGCTTATTATAGGCTAAAAAGAATATTACTGAGGTGTTCTGATGCTTTTGTGACAAGTGAAGTTCAAATGATAATATGGCATATATTATGAATTTAAAACATTTATTAAAGGTAAAGGAGAGAAAAATGATGGGAGAATTATGTCAAGATAATACAGGTATGCTAAAGTTATGTTAAAAAGGTACTATAGTAATAACATTTTCAACTTGGGACCAGTGATTTACTTTGAGCAAAAGAATGTCACCATTATATTAAGTAAACATTAATTTTATTGGTTTTATAAGTTTGTTCATATACAATTTATAAATTTTTGTTCATTTTTTATTTATAAAAGAACTTCAAACATAAGGAATTTATATCTAGTTTTGTTTGAGTGTATTTTAGTTTCCTCAGAATTAAAATAATTTATGAACCTTAAGTTTTGTGAAAATATATTTCCTTTAGGAGCATTCCTTCAATTAGTTAAGTTTGAGAAACCTGATCTAGGCTAGTCTCCTACATTTTACAGGTGAGGAAACCAAGTCTCATGAGCAACATGAATGATGGGTGGGTAAAGGCAGTATTTTAATTTTTTAAATTTTTAAATTTTATTTTTATTTTTAAAGATTTCATTTATTTATTTGACAGAGAGATACACAGCAAGAGAGGGAACACAAGCAGAGGGAGTGGGAGAGGGAGAAGCAGGCTTCCCACTGAGCTGGAAGCCTGATGTGGGGCTCGATCCCAGGACCCTGGGTCCATGACCTGAGCCGAAGGCAGATGTTTAATGACTGAGCCACCCAGGTGCCCCAAGGCAGTGTTTTTAACTTAAAGTTATTAAAGTTATCCTGCACTTATTAATACTTTTTATTTTATTATGCATAATAATTATTTCTGTTTGAGGATAATAAGCCTCCCTATTAATGCCAATTTTGGTTTTTGTTAATAATAATGATACTAAGAAAAATATAATTTTTATTTTTATATTTGTTTAATAGTTTATAAATGCTTTCATTTCCACTGTCTTTTAAAAAATTATAACCTTTAGGGTATCGATTATTATTTCTGTTTTATAGATGAAGGATTGATGACAGGAGAGGTAAACATACTTGCCCAAGGTCCCACTTGTTATCAGTGGCCAAACCAGGATTTGAGTACATTGATTTGCAGTCTAATATTCTAGTAGCATTCTAGTAGCATACTAAAGTAAATATGAAATCTTATATTATTTAAATGATTCTTTCAGGCTGTGGTATTTATGTCTGATTGGGTATATGAATTTTTCCCCCTGTAGGCATTATATTTGCTCTTAGAATTTTTCCTGTAAGTTATATTTCAGACCATTTGTTATGTATATTGCATTTATTAATATCATGAGCATTGAATTCTTAAATTCTCTTAATCCATATATTCTATTTCTAAAATAAGGTCTTTGTTTAATGCATTGTATTTGATTTTTTTTTAATAGGTCCTGATTGTTCTTTGAATGTTCCTTCTACTGAGTCTTACTGGATTCTGCCAAATGTTAAACCCTTCAGTCCTTCTGTAGGTCGGGCTTCCCATAAAGCAGTTTTACATGGGAAATTTATGTGGGTGATTGGTGGATATACTTTTAACTACAGTTCTTTCCAAATGGTCCTGAAGTAAGTTTTTTTTTCAAATGTTCATAATCTATTGGATTATTTTGGTAATAAGACTATATTAAATGTCTTATTTTATTGCTGTCCAAATTTATAAATGGTTATATCAGTGATAGTATCTACTTACTACATGGGACTGATTTGAGAATATATGAACTCAGTATATCCATAGTTAATTTTTGTCATTATGTATCTAGGTTTGATTTGTAGAAATTTTATTACCTCTCTAGAGAGTGCGTTTTGGAAATTCTTAGTATGAAAATACTAACTTCAAAAAAGTAGGGGGCCATGCCTGTATTAGACATAAAAATCCTGCCACCTTTTATTTTTTAGGATGAAGTGTAATTGCTTATATAAAAATACTTTCAGTTTGTTTCGTAAGTTTTAATTTACCTGAGCTTTTACTTTACAAGCTTTTGGGAACACAGGCCAATATTATAAAATAAATCATTCATTTGACGTTGGCACAATAGAGATTATCCTCTGCATGATTGGATGATAGAGAAATCACATGGGTGGCAGCTTTATCTGACTTTTTTTCAGCTGCTGATTGTATTTTATCAACCATCTATTAACAGAATAAAAGAGGAACTAGGAAGAGTAATTTGATTATCAGTGTTGTTTTCAATATAATATAACTGGTATAACTTGGGCTCAACCAATCAGAACTGACCTTGTTAGTATTCATTGTAACATTTTGTATATTGCATGTAGGCTCCTTGCAAAATGCAATATACATATAATTTTTTAAATATATATTTTTGCTTTTCTCCCAAATATTGCATGGGTCATACATACACTAAAAATTTGTTGGTTGCTTATCTGAAATTCAGATTTAACTGAGCATCCTATATTTTAACTGCAACTGAAGATATTAACCTTGTTAATTTGGAGAATATAAAAAAGTCTGTGTTTAAGAGGATAAGCAAAAGAACCAGGTTGCAGACAAAAGTTAAACTGAGTCAAATGAGAAATATGTAAGTTTAAAACTATTTAAGCTTTAAAACTATGATTGAATATGATTGGAATTAAAGTCTAAAATAAATTCTGGAGAGGAAGAAAAGGAAGAGTTATAGGTAAATATTTAAGTGAAGAATTAGAATTATGCATCATAATATATGAAGGATAAAATATTCTAGAAAGAATTGAAGGAGAGTTGGTGGGATTAAATGAGTTTTTATGATATAAAAAGAACCTGAAGAAATAATAAGATTTAAATGTGGAATCAAGAGGGAAATTTACCTCTAGAACTCTCAGACAGAGGTGAGGGGGGTAGGGGGATGGGTTAGCCTGGTGATGGGTATTAAAGAGGGCATGTTCTGCATGGAGCACTGGGTGTTATATGCAAACAATGAATCATGGAACACTACATCAGAAACTAATGATGTAATGTATGGTGATTAACATAACATAATAAAATTTAAAAAAAGAAGCAAATTTACTATGATTAATGAAAAGTCTATGAAAATAAAGTAAAACTTTGAATTAAATTGTGGTATTTGCAAAGTAGAGTTGTGAAGACGGAGTATAGTGTCAGGGAAACATGGGAATTTAAAAAATTTGTGTTCTGTATAAGTTTAATTGCATATTTAAAATTAAGTGGTGAATATCTTGATACTTTCTTAAACTTATATATTTCTCATTTGACTCAGTTTAACTTTTGTCTGCAACCTGGTTCTTTTGCTTATAGTGTTTAGTTTTGTAGTAAGCCTCGAGATGTCAGATTAGAAGTAACCTGGTTGCTGTTTTCACAGGTTAGAGAGTTTTTTTTATTATTCTGAATGTAGTTCAATTGTAGGTAGGTAAGGATATTTACTAGTTTTTAGAAGTGATGTCAGTCATTAGTCAATTTATCTTCTATAGAATTTAATTGAGGTGTAGATGTTACATTTTTTAAATCTTCTGCATCTTTAAGGAAGATTTTATTTATTTGAGAGAGAGAAAGAGAGCACAATCAAGGGGAGGGGCAGAGGGAGAAGCAGACTCCCTGCTGAGCAGGGAGCCCAGTGTGGAACTTGATCCTGGGACTCCGGGATCATGACCTGAGCTGAAGGCAGATGCTTATCCGACTGAGCCACCCGGGTGCCCCCAGATGTTACATTTTTTTTTTTTTTTTTTATAATTTTTTTTTTTTTTTTTTTATTTGAGACAGAGAGAATGAGAGACAGAGAGCATGAGAGGGAGGAGGGTCAGAGGGAGAAGCAGACTCCCCGCCGAACAGGGAGCCCGATGTGGGACTTGATCCCGGGACTCCAGGATCATGACCTGAGCCGAAGGCAGTCGCTTAACCAACTGAGCCACCCAGGCACCCCAGATGTTACATTTTAAGACAAAATTATTCAGTAAGATATAAAAGTTCTGTATTAGTGTATTAAATTAGAATATTTGGCAGAACATGTATATTGACATTAGTGAGAATTAACATGTATTTATGGGCATAGCAAACTGTTTTGAATATTTACTCTATGCTTGATACTTGGGATATATCAGTGGACATAATAAATGTCCCTATCTTTATGGAGTTAGTGAGGAAAGACAGGCAATTAGAAAAGCATAATTACCATAATAAATAAGTACATCATAAGTAAATTATATATATGCACATATATAGAGATAGATGCCAAGATAGGATAAGCAAATCACAGAGTGCAAAGAGGAGAGTTATAAATGTAGTGGTCAACGTAGGCATCACGTAAAAGGTGATAACTGAACAAACTTAAAGGAGATTAAGCATTGGCAGTGCAGTTATCTGGAGGCAGGGAAAAGAGCCAGACAAAAGCCTTAATGTGGGAGCTACTTGGAGAGTTCAGGCAGCAGCAAGGAAGGCCCTGTGACTTTCGTGGAATACATGAGAGGGAAGCATGAAATTGTTGGGATAGTGGTGGAGAGACATCATGTAGGGTGTTGTAGATCTTTTGACAGTCATGGGAATTTTTGAGCGTGCTTTGACTTAAATTTTAAAGGAGTCACTACTTTGTTAAGAATATACTGGGATTGGGAGGAAGAGTAGAAACAGGGCTTGAGTTAGGATGAGATCATCAAGGGAATGAATTCTAGGTGGAGAAGAGGACCAGGAACTGAGCCTGAGGCACCATATCACTAGGAGGTCAGGGGAAAAGATGAGAAACCAGCAGAAGAGGCTGAAAAGGAGTGGCCAGTGAGGTAGGAAAGCCAAGAGTGTGGTGTCTTTAAAGGTAAGGGAAGAGAGTATATGAGGAGGAAGGTTTGATTAGCAGTGTCAAATGCTAATGATTAACCAGGTCAAGGAAAATGAGGACTGAGAAGTGGCCAGGGATTTAGCATGAGGAAGTTGATTTTAACAAAAACAGTTTTGCTGGAGCAGTGTTTTTAAAAGCTTGTTTGGAGTTAGTTGAGAGAGTGGAGAGGTGCAGGGAGGGGCAAGGAAGAAAGAGGGTAGTAAAGAAATGGGGTGATAGCTTGGAGGGGTAGTAGTGAGGTCAAGAGAAATTTTTCTTTTTTCTTTTTTTTTATAAGTGGGGAAAAATAACACCATGTTTTTATGCCGATGGGAATTAATCTAGTAAGACCAGAAAGTGGTGATGTAGGAAAGAGATGGGAGAATTGCTAGAATGTTGTGGGATCTAGTGCACCAGGAACACAACTATAGTTTATTGATAGATGGGAGAACTGCTAGAATGTTGTGGGATCTAGTGCACCAGGAACACAACTATAGTTTATTCTGTCTTACCAACTGCCAAGTAGGGGCCTAGGACCTAGATGCTAAGAATGGTTTTGCATTTTTAATGGGCTGTAGGAAAGAACCGAAGAAGAATATATGAGACCAATGTGGTACACAAAGCCTAAAATATTTACTGTCTGGCCCTTTACAGAAATAGTTTGCTGGGCCCTAATTTATGGTAACTTGGTGGAAAGCAGTGTGTTGGGTGCAGATATGGTAGGTAGATGTAGGTATGATTTTGTGGAAGTTATGTTCTGGTTGATGATATTTCCTCATTTATGTCATACACATGTATTTTATAACTCCAAGGTAGGAAATAACTTAAACACAATACTGTAGACAATTTTTGGTAGCCCTTTCTTTCTCTTTCTCTCTCTCTCTTTTTTTTTTTTGTGAAGGGAGTTCTCTTTCCTTTCTTGATCCCACAACATTACCTTTCTTGAAGAAAGAGAAGAGGGGAAATAATTGATAATGAGCTTCTTAAACAATGTTCTAGCCAATTCTTAGCTGGGTGTTACCCTTTTTATGTTTTGGCACATTGAAGAACTTTGAGTGTAGAGTATGATGGTGGAGTTCTGTTGGATAAGCATTGGAGATTCATAGTTTGGAACTTCTGTTTTCATATATGTATTTTTAGAACAAATACAAATTTTCTTTTTTTATCCTGTAATCCAATATGTACTTATTTTTTTATTATGTTAATCACCATACATTACATCATTAGCTTTTGATGTAGTGTTTCATGATTCATTGTTTGTGTACTTCATTTTTACAGAAGCTTCTGTCTTACTAGATTCATTTTATTTCAAAAAGTGATCTGTGAATGAGTTATATTTGGCATAGGAAATGCATACTTAATTTATATAATGCTAAGCTTAGTCTCTGTAAAAGAATAAAAATAAATGCATAAAGCAAATGGCTGTTGTAAAAATGGAAAGAATTTTCATCTATTTTGAAAAGAAAAAGCTGGCTTTTAAAAAAAATGAAAAATGCAGACTGACTCACTTATTGTTTAGGCTAATCAGTTGGTTGAAATTGTTAAAGGTAATTGCACAAATTAATTCCAGTAATAAATAGCCTAGTCAAGTTAATGTATATTACACATTTAGGTGATTGAATTATAATTTAGAGTAGGTATGTCTTGAATGAGTCTATTAAAAATTTCTAATATGGTACATGAAATTATGAGTTTATTAGTTATAATTGTTTTTGAATTTAATGAATACTTGAATACAAGTGAGGAAAGCATATGCAAATTAAAAAACCAAAAGTGAATCTTAGCTTATAATTATAAGTATTTTTCTTTTATTTTGCTTTTAGTTACAATTTGGAAAGCAGTATATGGAATGTAGGAAGTCTATCAAGAGGTCCTCTCCAGAGATATGGACACTCTCTTGCTTTATATCAGGTATGGATCATGCTTTTTAAATTCTAATCATTGTTTTTTTGTTTGCTTTTGGAGTTTACCTTTGAGAAAAAAAATACTAAATCTCAGTTTTATTTCAAATATTTAATGAGAATAGATCATAGATCACAATTACTTGACATGTCACAAACTCATATAGTATTTTAGTAAAAAAATAGATTTTAGTACAATTCTCCATTGAACATGAGAAGAAATGAAGATTGAATTTTTGACCATGGCTTTATACCTAGTCATCAGGTTAATCACTTTTTTTTAAAGATTTTATTTATTTATTTGAAAGAGAGAGAGTGAGCTAGAGAGCAGGGGGAGGGGTAGAGGGAGAGGGAGAAGCAGACTCCCCTTCTGAGCAGGGAACCCATTGTGGGGCTCGATCCCAGGGATCCTGGGATCATGACAGAGCTGAAGGCAGTCGCTTAACCCACTGAGCCACCCAGGCTTTTAAAAAAATTGTAGTAAAGTACACATAACATAAAATTTACCATTTTAGCCACTTTTTAAATGTAGTTTCAGTGACATTAAGTATATTCAAATTGTACAAACATTACCACCATTATTTCCAGACCTTTTTTCATCTTGCAAAAATGACACTCTATACCCCATTAAACAGTAACTCCCCATCTCCTTCCCCAGCCACTGGCAACCACCATTCTACTTTCTGTCTCTGTAATTTGACTACTCCATGTACCTCATATAAGTGGAATCATATAGTATTTGTCTTTTGACTGGCTTATTTCACTTAGCATAATGCCCTCAAGGTTCATCCATGTAGTATATGCTAGAATATCCTTCCTTTTTAAACCTGAATAATATTCCATTGTATGGACATATTGCATTCTGTTTATCTATTCATCTGTTGATAGACCCTTGGGGTGCTTTCACCTTTTTGACTCTTATGAATGATGCTGTTGTGAACATGGGTGTGAAACTACCTATTTAAGTCCCTGCTTTAAATTTTTTGGGTAGATAGCTAGAAGAGGAGTTGCAGGACTACATCATAATTCTGTTTTTAATTTTTTGAGGAATTGCCATATTGTTTTCCATAGCAGCTACACCATTTTACATTTTCACCAGCAGTGCACAGGGTTCTAATTCCTCCACATCCTTGTCAACACTTGTTATTTTGTTTTTGTTTTTGTTTTTTATAATATTCACCTTGTGTGAAGTGGTATCTCACTGTGGTTTTGATTTGCATTTCTTTAATGTTGAACATCTTTTCAGGTGCTTATTGGCTATTTGTATGCCTCCTCTAAAGAAATGTATATTCAAATCTTTCGCCCATTTTAAAAATCAAGTTGTTTGTTTCTTTGTTGTTGAGTTGTTAGGGTTCTTTATATATTCTGGATATTAACCCCTTATCAGATATGATTTGCAAATATTTTCTCCCATTCTGTGGGCTGTCTTTTCACTCTGTTGATATGTTCTTTGATGCACAAAAGTTTTTAATTTTGGCATAGTCCAGTTTATCTATTTTTTTCTTTTGTTCTGTGGGCTTTTGGTGTCATATCCAAGAAGTCATTGCTAATCCAATGTTATGAAGATTTTTCCCTATGTTTTCTTTTAAAAGTTTTAAAGTTTTAGTTTTGATATTTAGATCTTTAATCCATTTTGAGTTAATTTTTTTGTTTATGGTGTAGGGTAAGTGTTCACTTTCATTTTTTTGCATGTAGCTATTTTGTTTTCCCAGCACCATTTGTTGAAAAGACTGTCTTTTCCTCATTGGATGGTCTTGGTGCCCTTGTTGAAAATCATTTTACCATATGTGTGAGGATTTACATCTGGGCTCTCTATTCTTTTGATCTGTGTCTGTGTACCAGTACCAGGATGACACAATTTCGATTATTGTAGTTTTATAGTAAGTTTTGAAATGAAGTGTGAGACTTCCAGCTTTGATCTTATTTTTCAAGTTTGTTTTGCCTACTCAGGGTCACTTAAGATTCCTTCTGTTTCTCCAGAAATGTCATTGAGATTTTGATAGGGATTGCATTGTACTCAGTTACTCTTGTGTAATTCATGAATTTAGTATGATTGAAATGATAGACTACTTAACTCGTTTTTATTTTGAATCAACAAAGATTCATGTATTTTGTGGTTTGTGACTAGACCCTTCAAATAAAAACTTATGTATTTTCTGTGCTTATTTAAGAAAATTTGGAAAATACAGGAGTGATGTAAAGAATAAACTTCAACTCTTTTTTTTCTATGCAGATGCATGTTTTAAAGATAAAATAAAAACCTCTCTAAGTATATATGTTTGTGTGTATATAAATTCTTTCTTTTAATTTTGGTTTTTAGTTTTAGTGTTTTGATTTATTGTATTTTTTTGGTAACAGCTTTTGAGATGTAATTGATATACCATACAGTTCACTCATCTAGAGTGTGCATTTGGAATGGCTTTTAATTTATTCACAGTTGTGCAACAATCTTTTGCAGATTTGCATAAAATCGCAGAGTTGTATAATCAATTTTAGAACGTTTTCGTTACCTCACAAAGAAACTTGTACCCTTTATTACTCCAAACCTCCTCATCCTCCCAGCTTTAAGCAATCATGAATTTATTTCCTGTCTCTATAGCTTTGTCTGTTCTGGACATTTCATATAAATGAAATTATTTACTATATGGTTTGTGACTAGCATGTTGTAGCATGTATTGATATTTCGTTTTTATGGCTAAATAATATTCTGTTATGGATACATTACATTTGCTTTATCCGTTTATCATTTGATGGGCATTTGGGTTGTTTTCACCTTTTGGCTATTATGATAATGCTGCTGTGAACATTCATGTGTAAGTTTTTGTGTGGACATATGCTTATGTTTCTCTTGGGTATATATATAAGTAGGATTGAAATTGCTGGGTCAAATGGTAACTCTATATTTAAATTTTGAGGAACTGCCAGACTGTTTTCCAGAATGGCTGCATCATTTTCCATTTCTACAGCTATATACGAAGGTCCAGTTATTCTACATCCTTGCCAACACTGGTTATTTGATATCATTTTGATTATAGCCATCCCTAGTGAAGTGGTATCACATTTTGTTTTGATTTGCATTTCCCTGTTGACTAATGATGTGAGTCATCTTTTCATGTGCTTATTCCTATTTGTATTTTCTTTGGAGAAATGTCCATTCTAGTCCTCTTCCCATTTTTAATTTTTTAATTTATTTTTATTTTATTTTATATTTTTTAAAGATTTTATTTATTTGAGAGGGAGAGCACGAGTGGTGGGGAGGGGAGGAGCAGATGGAGAGGAAGAAGCAGACTCCCCGCTGAGCAGAGAGCCTGAGGGGGTTGAGGGGGGCTGGATCCCAGGGTCTTGGGATCGAGACTGAAGGCAGCAGCTTCACTGACTGAACCACCCAGGTACTCCTTCTCATTTTTCAATTGGGTTATTTGTCTTGTTATTATTGAGAAGTAAGAGTTATTTATATATTCTAGATACAAGTCCCTTATCAGATACATGATTTGTAAATATTTTTTCCCATTCTGTGCGCTTTCTTGATAGTATCTTTTGAAGCACAAGTTTTTTAATTTTGATGAAATCCAATTTATTGTTCTTTTTCTTTTGTTGCTTGTGTTTTGGTGTCATATTTAAGACTCCATTGCCAAATCTAGTGTTAGGAAGGTTTACCTCATGTTTCTTTCAAGAGTTTTATAGTTTGGCTCTTACCTTTAGGTCTTTGGTCCATTTTGAGTTAAGTTTTGTACATGGTATGCAGTAACGGTTCAAGTTCATTCTTTTGCATGTTGACTACCTAGTTCTCTTTATACCTTTTGTTGAAGAGGCTATTCTTTCCCCCCTGAGTGGTCCTGGCACTCTTCAGTTGGCCCTAGATGTGTGGATTTATTTCTGGACTCTCAGTTCTATTGATTTATATGCCTGACTTTATGCCTGTAGCATATTGTCTTGATTACTTTTCCTTTATAGTAAGTTTTGAAATCGAATAGTGTGAGTCTTCTAATTATATTCTTTTTCAAGATTGTTTGGATATTCTGGGTCCCTTGCAATTCCATGTAAATCTTGGAACCAACTTGTCAATTTCTACAAAGAAACCCTCCAAGAGATTGCATTGAATCTGTAGATCAATTTGGAGACTGTTGCCATCTTAACTATATTAAGTCCTTTGACCCATGAACATGGGATGTCTTTCTATTCATTTAGATCCTTTAAAATTTCTTTCAACAATGCTTTGTGGCTTTCAGAGTTAAAGTTTGTAATTTCTTTTTGTTAAATTTATTTCTAAGTATTATTTCCTTTTTGATGCTTTTGTGAATGAAATTCTTTACTTAGTTTCATTTTTGGGTTGTTCATTTTAAGTGTATAGAAATATAATAGATTTTTTGTACATCGATTTTGTATTCTGCAATGTTACTGAATTCATTTATCTGCTCTATTTTTTTTTTTTTTTCCTTAGGATTGTCTATGTACAACTTCATATAATCTATGGATAGAAATATATTACTTCTTTTCCAGTCTGGATGCCTTTATTCAGTTTTTGCTTTTTTGCTTTGGCCAAAACCTCCAATACAATGTTGAATATAAGTGGTAAAAGTGGGCATCTTTGTCTTGTTCCTAGTGGGAAAGCATCAAACTTTCACCATTAAGTGTAGTATTAGGTCTGTGTTTTTCTTAGGTGCTCTTTATTTGGTTGATGGAATTCCTTTCTATTCTTAGGGTAGTAATGATGTATGTCATTTATGTATTATTCATTTCAATCATATGTAATTGAAATTATTTGTATAATTTATAAGTGCTATAAAATATCTGCCTATAGCCATGAAAAATGGTAATAAAAATACACTCCACATAGTGTACCAGTGTGGTCTACCTTTTTGGTGGACAGTGCTTGAAGAAAACAGTGAATGAGAATAGCACAAAGCAGTACACATAGATGGTAAAATTTAAGTGTAAGAAGTAGGGACTCAACAACTAAGATAATTAAAAATATAGTCAATTTAACTATATTAATTTGGTGTTTTAAATAAAGTATCTTAATGCAACTTTTTGAAAGCACGAATATTTTCCCCTTGTAAGTAAAAGCATTAATTCCCATTCCCATATAACTTTCTATAAATAAAAACTATGCCTTATGCATGTTGTGAGTGATTACTAAAGTTTAATGTTTAAACTGAGCCTTTATTTTTAATTATATTGCTAAGATACAACTCTTTTGCCTATTAATATGTGTTTTTTAATTTACAGGAAAACATCTTTATGTATGGAGGCAGAATTGAAACAAATGATGGCAATGTCACAGACGAATTATGGGTTTTTAACATACATAGTCAGTCATGGAGTACCAAAACTCCTACTGTTCTTGGACATGGTCAGCAGTATGCTGTGGAGGGACATTCAGCACACATTATGGAGCTGGATAGTAGAGATGTTGTCATGATCATAATATTTGGATATTCTGCAATATATGGTTATACAAGCAGCATACAGGAATACCATATCTGTGAGTTACTTTGAAAATGTAACTATATACTCTTTTATTAGTTGAAAATATCTTTACCTTTAATAAAATCTTCATATGAATTTAGTCAAATGGTGAGTTATTTGAATCAGAATTATGAGCTAAGAATTAATACTTTTTAATATAAACCTTTTGATTTTGTGTTAGGTTTTGTCCTTTAATATTTATCTTCTTAGCTAAAAGTGGGGAAATGTTACATACCAGTTACACATTTTTCAAGAATTGAGAATATTTATAAATATGAGAAATTCCAACAGATGGTGCTATTTCTTTGGATTTTACTTATGAACCAAGAACTAAAACTAACCTAGTCTCTTTACTATGCATTCCATGATTTCAGGATTTTTATTTTTCAGGGTTCTGTTTCTAATCTTACTGTAAGAACTCTATATATGTATGATTCTTTTAAAGTAAGTTTCCTGAAGATAGTCTGTTGGCTTTATAAGAAATTATTATCTGGTGGGTGAAGGTGACTGAGACAATCTACATATGACTTTTTGTACTGTACTCTTCAATACTCTTCTTTGTTTTTCTGGTACTTTATTATTATTTTTTTGAATTCTTTATGATATTTTCAAACACAAGATTTTAAAAAAATTTGTCTACACAAACCATATGGTCCCTATTTAGATTGAAGACCATATTTCATTTCTGGCTCTGGCCAGTATTATGAACTCAAGTTTTTGGCTCCTTTGTGTAGAGATGGCTGTATCCAACTGTTTAGAGTCCTTGTCTGGTCTTAATGAGGAATCTCACTTGCAGAGCAACAAGAGCGTCCTTGATGTGCTCAGAAGACTCCCTTTCTAAAAATACTCCTCTCTTCCCCCTGCAGTCCTTTCAAGTGATCCGTTTTCTTTTCAAAATCCCCACTGCAGCTGAGTGGAAGGTGGGATATGTATCCTTCTTACTTCTTATTGCCATTTTACAGTATTTCCATTCCTTCCTCCTTTAAAGCACTCACCTTTGACTCTTACATCATCAGACTGTGTCATCTGTTACTTCTTCACTCTTCTGTTACTCCTCAGATCACATTACATTACAATACATTACAAAACAATATATTAGCCAAATATTTTTCTGATTTCACTATCCACTTAAATAGTTCTTTTAATACTTGGACTCTCATATTTTTTTTTTTTTAATCTCTCTTCAGGGATCTTGTTTTCCATCCTATTTGAGTCCCTCTCTCCCACTGTCATACTCTTGACTGTGTACCTCAATGAATCCCATAATTTCCATTTTAGATATCTTACTCTTTGAGTGCCACTGATCTTTCCAACTTACTCCTTCTAGGACCCCAACTCTGACAATTCTCCAGCCTTACTAGAGCTGTGAGTCCATTGGGCCTCCTATCCGTTTTTCACTGTCCCTCTCTTATCTGTACTTCTAACCTTACCCAGCTTGAAGCTCATAAGCACCAGTCTTTCCTCCAACTCTCCCAAGTTGACCATTTCATACCCTTTCCTCTCTTCAAACCTCTAGCACTTCCTTCTCCATGATTACTCTCAGCTGATGACCTTACTTCTTATTTTACTAGGAAAGTAGAAAAAATCTAAAGAGAACTCCTGCTGATGGGAACATTTTGGAGTGTAATGGTTAATTAGCCGTGCTGTATTGAATAAACTGCTATGTACACACATTATTGGTGTAACAGACTCATGGTGGCGTTGAAGCAAATGTGGCTGTCATTGCATTTTTTTAGACAGGCCCAAGGTTGTTTAAGCAACAGTTAGAAATGTTCTATGTAGAAAGGTGGTTTTGTTTTTTGATTTTGTTATTAATTTTTGGTTTTATTATGGTGTTCAGGGAATGTTGTAGGTATTATTTCTACTTTTTGTAATTTACTGAGATTTTCTTTGTGGGCCAATTTTCATATTTTATAGACCCTTGGAAAGGAGATGAATCTTGTTATATCAAGGTATGGCATTTGAGATATATATATGTGTGTGTGTGTGTATATATACATATATATATGTATATATACACACATCTAGCAAATCTACTTTGTTGGTTTATTCTTTCCTTTTTTTTTTTGTACTTTATCTGTCATGCTCCGAAAATTGAGTTAAAGTCTAAAAATTTTAGTTTATTTTTGCCTTTTTCTCCTTGTTTATACTTTATGAAAGTTGCTGTTATGGATATTCATAACAGTTGTATCTTTTAATATTATAAATTGCTTTGCTTGCTTAATGTTTTTGACTTGATTTCTACCTTGTCTGATATTTAATATTTTGGCTCTTGCTTTTTGTGGGAAAGGGTTTGGTATTTTCCTGGTATACTTTTGCCCTTCTCTTCATTGTTAACCTTTCAGAATCACTTTGTTTTAAATGTATCTCTTGTGTATAAGAAGGAATTGGATTTTGCTTCATGATTCCATCTGGTTTTTGTACACTTTGTGTCACTCTGTTGTCTTCTTGTTTTTAATTATGGCTCTTCTTATGTTTAGGGAGAGAAGGCCATTTTTTTGTGTGAAGGAGCACGGTAGTTTTTGAGATCTGCTACTGTTAGGCTTCTTCCACACTCCTGTTTCTCATCTTCTTTTCTGCATTCTTGTGGCTTTTTCTATGTGACTCTCTTGGTTTCGCCTGCTTTTTGCATATTCGCACCTTATTTGGAGTTTGTAGTTTTTGAAAAAATTCCTAGTTTCTCTGAATATTTAATTTTCTTTTTCCTTTACATTACCTTCATGTTTTCCTTACTGTTTTATATGTCTTCTCTGAAGAAAATGGGAAGATGCAGAATTAAACTATCACCAAACTTTTAATTGAACCAGAGGTTTTGACTTTCGAAGTTTTTAAAAAAATGAAGTCTAAAGTTAACCAGTACTTTTACTCTGATCAACCTCGAATTTACAGGCTACTGTTTCCCCTGCTTTAATTCATCTTGTTTTGTTTTAAGTACATTTGACCGTCTTATCAATATTTTGTACTAAGCATCACAGTCTTTTCTGTAAAGGGCCAGATAGTAACTATTTTAAGCTTTGTGGGCCATGTGGTCTTTATCATAACTAGTCAACTCTGCTGGTATAGCATGAAAGCAGCCATGGATAATGCACACACAATGAGCATGGCTTTGTTCCAGATTGGGCTCCCTTGGGTCTTAGATTGCCTGCTCTGGAGAGAATGTGTGCTTCTGGGGGCCTAGCAACCTTAGTCTCAAATTAAAATTTTGGTATGTGGTTTTTTGGGACCTTATATGTAGGGTGAATTCATGCCTACAGTGGCATGATGTCTAGTCTTTGACCAAAAGTTTCCAAAGGAAGCACTTTTTTCCTTTCACATAGGGCCAAGGCTGAAATAGACATTTTCTGTCTGCCTCTGCAGAGCAGATTAAAACAAAACAAAACAAAAACAAAAACATTTTTCATTGAGGGTATAACCCTGACTTTATGTAGAAGCTCTCTGATTCAGTGCTTAATGGGCTCAGCTTCAGTATTGGCCATTAAAACCGAATTCCTAGGTTACCTGGTTGGTGCATGTCTTCCCTACTCTGCCTCCCAACTGAATAGAGTTTACAGTTCATAGAATACATTACTCTTTTCATATTTCCCTTTACTGAACAGTAGTTCCATTCAGTTATGAGACATGGTATTGATGATGCTTTCCAGGGATAGCTAGGAAGGCTCATCAGATTTATTCTAATCTGTGAAGGTAAATGTTGATATAGATTGTTAACTGATAAATTCATTGGCTGGTAGGTTTTTGTTTTCATTTCAAATAATTTGATTATATAATTTAAATTGTAGTTTTGGTAAAATTTTAACTATTAGAGTTCTTTTGGTTTATTCTATAACAAAAATACAGTTTATTTATTAAAGACTTTTTAAAAAAGATTTTATTTATTTGACAGAGAGAGACACAGTGAGAGAGGGAACACAAGCAGGGGGAGTGAGAGAGGGAGAATCAGGCTCTGCACTGAGCAGAGAGCCCAATGTGGGGCTCGATCCCAGGACCGGGGGATCATGACCTGAGCCGAAGGCAGACGCTTAATGGCTGAGCCACCCAGGCACCCCCCAAAATACAATTTATAAATAAATTTATCCACAGGGTATTTTTGGTTTTACTTTTGTCTTATTAATTGTACTACTTTTTAGGCCCACTTATGAATGTGGTATAAGATAGATATGGGATGAATACATAGTTTATGAATTTTATAAAAATACTAGATGACTTTTGAGCAGTTTTCAAATTCTGTGAATTAAGTACAAAGTAAAACTCATCAATTTTTCTGTAAAATTATATCATAATAATAATAAAATTAACTTATTACTATTTATTCCTGTGCATTTTGAATTCACTGCTTATTGAAAGTATGTGGTATCAAAAAATAATCAAAGTACTTTTCACTTTGAAAAGTAATTACAAATAAAAGAATACAAAAACAATGGGTAGACATAAAGATGTTAGAATAATTAAGTTCTATATATCATAGAAAAGTGCTTCTTTAGGGGATGATATTATATTAAGTAGGGCTGCTTTGAACATAAGTAATGGGATAATTTATCATCTTAGTTATAAGTGAATACTTATTTCCACAGAGAGAGTATTTATTTATTTATTTATTTAGTCCTATTCTTGGTGGGAATTACTACACTGTGACGTCGGTTTTGCCTCTTTTTTCCTCACTGATTTTAATGGTATCAGGTACCCAAATGTAGGTTGGTTTTACTTTTACCATCCTTACGTGTTTAAAGCTTCTAGACAACTAAGGAAAAAAAAAAGTTTTTGTATTAAAGAAGGGACTATCTCTTTAACCAGCATTGTGGTGAGGGTAACTGAAAAGTAAGCTGACATTAAGCAGAGAAATTAATGAAAACAGGATATTTTGCTAGATAAAAATTTACTCAGAAACATATGCTAAGGATATTGATCTCATCATTATGTAGAAATTTTAAAAACAGAAAAAACTCCCAATTAACATACTTCAAAATGACCCTTATTCAACTTCTAATAATATTGCAAATCATTACAAGGTATTTCTGG